TATAGAATATTACAATATTAATTTGCATAATATTGTATAATATTATACATTATAATATTGATTATATTAATATACAATATTGTTATAACATATTAATATCATATTATATGTTGGTATAATATAATAATAATAATTTAGTACTTAATAAATTAGGTAGGAGCTTGGGCACTATCCTTCTTCCTGAAATATGGAGTAGCAGGATCGGAACATTTGGCCATAAAGATGAGATTTAAGAGAATCCAGCAACTCCCTAGGAGCCAGCAAAGGAAGGGAGGGAGGAGATGAGCTCTATTAATTCCAGGTTTGTTGGGCCTGGCCAGAATTTTAGTCCAGTCGGACACTCTTGGGGTAGAGGCAGAGGCCTTCCCTGATGAGAGGAAGAAATAAACACGGAGGGGGCTGGGTGTCCAATGCTTTGGATCAAGCATGGGCTGAGACAGCGGTGGCTGTGGGTGGAGGCTAATTCAGATGTAGAAGGAGAACCCATAGCAAAGGGGGAAACAGACAAGTAATGAATGGTCCCTTCTCCACCACCTCTGCTTTTATGAGGAAGAAAGGAGAGCCCTAGGGTAGCCCAAGCATCCTTCCTCTGTGGATCCGCTCGGGTTTGGGTTTGAATTTTAAGAACATGTTTGGGCAGCTTAAAATGGGATCAGCGCCTACCTCAAAGTTGTTGTGAGGATCAGATGAGATAACGTAAGTGTTTTGCCAGTACTATACAAATGCTAGCTATCATGGTTATTTTTATGGTCGTGTGCTTTTACTGGTTCATTTGCCTCCACTCCAGTCCCAAACTGGGAATTTCTGAATTTAACTCGGTTTCTGGTTGCTCAACATGCATATTGTTGTAAAGTCATTTTTCAGTCCTGTCCAACTCTCCATGACCCCCTCTGGCAGAAATACTGGAGTGGTTTGCCATTTCCTCCCCCAGCTCATTTTACAGATGAGGAAATGGAGGCAAACAGGGTTAAGTGACTTGCCCAGGGTCACACGGCTAGTAGGTGTCTGAGGGTGAATTAGAACTCGGGAAGATGAGTCTTTCTGATTCCAAGTCCAGTGCTCTCTCCACTGTGCCATCCAGCTGTCTCTTACCATGCACAGAAGAGCATTGAAAGAATACTGAAGAATAGCCTTGAGTCAATGTGATATGAAGATTGGCGTCAATAACTAATTATTGAATCAGGACCAATGTTTTCTTTTCCCCCTTTTTACTTCATCATCCAGAAATCAACCAGTGTGGGACATCTTTCTCAGAAGACTTCACCATCACATTGTACCAAACTGTTCAATCACCTATAGCCAAAACCCACATGTTGGATTGGACGTAGGCAGGGAATATCTGCGTGTGTTCTATGTAACCTACCAGGAAGAAGAGATCTGAGCACGCTCTAAGGCAGTGATATCAAACTCAGATTCTTGTAGCCAACACTTATTGACTTAGAAAACCACATATTAACATTATATATGTTCTATTGTATTTTTATTTATTTTCTTAAATATCTGCCAATTACATTTTACTCTGGTTTGAGTCATCCTCTGGAGTTTTTGTGGGTTGCATTCTGCCCTAAGAACTTGACCCTTATTGGCCAATACCCCCCTTATATGAGCATCTTAGCTAATGAGAGCTGATATTCATTATTAGACTGGATGACAACTGTGAACTCTTGTTCTCAGTGGGATACACCGAAGTTAATGACTCCAGCAGGACCCCTAGCATATTTTCTATGCGGTCACTTTGGATTTCATTAGGAACTTTCATATTAATGTAGTTATATGTTTGTTTGTGAATATGGGTAACTCGTAGAAGAATCAATCAATCAACAAACATTTTGAAAGAGTCCAGAAACGTAGCTGCCTTGTCACACCTATGGATATCATCAGCCACAGAGTGTATGTAATGAGAGTCTGCTCTAATTAGGCTTCTTTCTCCCAGAGGCAAGACCAAGGAATATGTAGACATTGCAAAAAAATGCCCTAAGGACCAAAAGAATGTGCTAACCCCTGGGTGTACCTTTATCTAGCTTTTTCATAACTGGGGTACTCAAAGGTCCCTGGAGTCTGATTACCTTAATCGGTGCCTTGGTAAAGAGAGCCAGGGTCCTTGGTTCACCCAAAAATAAAACCATGTAAATTCCAGTGTTGAGGAGCCAGTCACTCTGGTCAGTCTGCGTGTATTAAACACCTGTTAAGTTGCAGAAAAGGTGCCAACCCAACATAGGTGTAGGGATGTTGATACCAGGTGTAGGTACTGAATGCCAAAATTAGCGTAGAGAGTTCTCCACACTAGCGGTTGGCATTAACACTCCTGATAGGGCCCAAACCAGAGTAAAATGCAATTGAGAAATATTTAACCGAATAAATAAAAATACAATAGAAAATAGATAATGTCAATAGCAGGTTTCTTAGGTGAATGCAAGGATCTCTATACGTGGTTCAGTGGCCGGTTTCTATGGAGTTTGACACCATTGCCCCACACCAAAGGAACCAAATCCCATTCCTATTGCTATGTGCCAGGCTCTGCATGCTAAGTGGTATGAATATGGTAGGAGTACAGAGGCAATGATGAAATAGTCCCTGCTCTCAAGGAGCTTACCTTCTCATGAGGGCAGGAAGGAGGAAGGGAAGGGGACAAGTATGTCGTAAGTACCTAATGTGTGCCGGACACTGGGCTAAACACTCAACAAATATCTCGTTTGAGCTTTACAACAATGGTGGGAGGTAAGTGCTAATATTAACCCCATTTTACAGCTAAGGAAACTGAGGCAGAGAGAGGCAAAATGGACTGTCCCAGGGTCACACAGCTAGTAAGTATCTGAGACTGGATTTGAACTCAGGTCTTATTGACTCCAGGCCTACTGCTCTATCCACTGTGCCACCTAGCTAATAGATGTACAACTTGCCACACGTAAAAGTTGATAAAGATGTGTACAGAATAAACACAAGACAGCTGGGGATGGGGAAGGGGCGTTAACATCTGGGAAATACTAAACATCCCAGCCAGTTAGGGCAGCCAGTCACAGTGGATAGAGCGCTGAGTTGGGAATCAAGAACAGCGATCTTTGTGAGTTCAAATCTGGCCTCAGACACTTACTAGCTGTGTGACCTTGGGCAAGTCACTTAACCCATGTGCCTCAGTTTCCTCATCTGTAAAATCAGCTCGACAAAGAAATGGCAAACCACTCCCGTATCTTTGCCAAGAAATTCCAAATGGGGTCAGGAAGAGTTGGGCATGATTCGACAACAACGTTAGTAGAAGAGCTGGGGTTAGAATCTAGATCTCTTAGGTCATAACCCAAAATAATAGGCTGCCTTTAATAAAATGACATTTAAGAGAGAACTCTACTAATATCCCTGTCTGATGCCTTATCATGGCACGAATGACAACAGAGCATTTCATTTAATAATTTAAGCTACTGTTAAGTAACCAAAAGCTGGCCTAATTCCATTTAATAAATGGTTCTCCTTAAAAATTGAGTTATGAATCTTAATGGTTCTTTTCTGCTTGGATCTCTTAATAATATCAACAGCTAGGACTTATATAGCACTTTAAGGTTTGCAAGGTCCTTCAACCACAATCTCTTTTGATCTCACAGCAATCCAGTGAATTTTACCCCAATTTACAGATGAAGAAACTGAGGCTAAAAGAGATTAAGTAATTTGCCCAGGGCCACACAGCTAAATGCCTGAGGCTGGAGTCCAGTTTGGGCCTTACTAAGTCCACTACTCTATCCATTTCACCATTTTTAACGGTTATAACACATCCATCACTGTTGACCAGAATTTACTGAGGTTAAGGTACTCAGTTCTATATTATGTTCAATGATGTCAGGCTGTGAAAAGACTCATTCTCTTAACTTAAGGAATTTAAAGTATATTCAAGAAAATACATTAGTAAATCTTTATCTGCTAGTATTTATTTGGAGTATACTCCAAGGGAAGGGCTTGAAAGTTGCTGATTAGATTAATAAAAGATGTAGAGGGTAAAGGTTCCAACTTAAAATTCATATCAAGGAGCTTTGTAAATTGCATTAGAACCCGAATGTAGGACTTTACATTTATTTTAATGCTTTAAGGACTGACAATTTCATCACTAAATGTACTCCCCCAATGGGTAAAGATTGTCACCCTCTATAACTTAATAGGTATGAATAAGAAATTTATCACCATCTGGCCTGCCTGGCAAGGAGCCTCTTTACACTTGAGATAAGAGAGCTATAGTTTCCCACAGGACCCTGTGTGAAGTCTTTCTGACTCAGGAGCGTCTGCCAGAGCTCATGCTACATTGGTATTGCTTTCCAGAAAGGGATCATCTTCCTACCATGATGAGGCATGAGGGAGGCACATGAGTGGAATCCTCGGTGAAATTTCATCTTTTTCAATTTGCTCTGCAGTCATGATCTTTTTGCATCCCAACTCTTCTATCTTGCAACGTTAGCGATCACTCAGTTCTATGCCATATGTGATTTTTAAAAGTCTGCCATTTGTGCCTCCCACCCAGCTCACTGATGAAAATATTACACGGTATAATGCCAAGTACAGTTAGGTGACACAGAACCATTTGTGACTACTGTCTGGGACAGGTTATTCAACTGGTTTAGACTTACCGAATTGTCCAGCCTATATCTCTTCTTCCAGCTGGTTCACAAAGATAGAATAAGAGGGTTTGCCAAATGCTTTCCTAACGTCAGAGCGAATATTCACAGCATCCAGGGCTATCACTAGTCATCTTGACCTCAGTATTGCCACTGGACTCCAATGGCTCTGGAGGAGAGAGTGAGGCTGATGACTTTGCCCAGCCCTGCCTCACTTAAATCCAATTCACTTGCAAGTCAAGACACCACTCTCCTGATATCATTGGTCCTCTTTGAGAACAGATAAACAACAATGACAGTTCACAGCATCTGACATATTCAGTCCAGTCTTCACAAATTTGATTATAGTAATCAATTTGGCCTCAATTCATTCTAATAACTCTTGGACCAAGGTCAAAGCTCAGGAGCCCTTAGGGTGCACCAGCAGGTTACCTGATGACTGTGCCCAGAGGTCTGGGGAGCATAGCAGCAGTGAAGATGGTAAGACCTAGTGGATTTTTTTTTTTTGGCTAGGCAATGGTGTTAAGTGACTTGCCCAGGGTCACACAGCTAGTAAGTGTTATGTGTTTGAGGTCACATTTGAACTCAGGTCCTTCTGAATTCAGGGCCTGTGCTCTATCCACTGCGCCACCTAGCTGCCCCTAGACCCAGTGGATTTTAAGATGCAATGACAGGGTAGAAAGGAAGACCTGGTGGTTGTCCATCTCCCTGGAGGGATTACTGTTAGTGACTCATAGCTCACTCAAATGATTGTGACCATTTTTGTAAATAAAAAAACACCTTTGATCATCTTCTCTATAAGGAAGCAAAGATGCTGTATGCCACAAGGTGGAACCTTTGAGAACAGTCTCCAGTTTGGATGCAAGGACGTCAAAAGATGATGGAGGAGTTGATGAGCATTGTCTTGGGGAATTTGGTAAGCCCAGGGAGGGGCTTTAAGGAAGAGAAAAAAAATGGTATTTTAGGGTATTCATATTGTGGTATCTATGGGAAGGAAGGAATATGTGCATAAAAATTTTGTAAATAAACTCTACCCACTGGAATAAAAACCACTTCATTTCACTGCAACAAAACATAGTATATTGAAATTCAGAAAGAATTTAAATCAAGGCAGCTTTTGTAGGGAAATCCAAAAGATTTGTGATTGCAGGCCCCCCTCCCATTGTCATTGCCTGGGTTCTCCTCAACTGTTTTATATATTTTTTTTTAGATTCAGAAGTTATTTATTGCTTATCAAAACTGAACCTAAGTGAAATTGAAGGCCACACCAGCTTTACAATGAACCCTTGGACTCTTGGCAATTCCTATAGGCCTCTTTTTTTGTTTTTAACTGCTTCAGTTAAACGTAATGAGTGCCATATCACTTGATATTTGACAGTTGGGGAAAAGTCACGTAAGCCCTGATTGTATAATCGATTGATGCTTTAAAATCATTGCTGTTAAGACTTTGAATTGTACATAATAAGAATATTAAAATTATAATGATTTAGACAATGTAGTTTACATGAATCCTCTAAAGCACTGTGAATTAAAGGGATACATCTGCAATAAAGCAGCTTTGAATGTTAAAACAAAAAACAAAAACAAAACAAAACCGAACCTAAGAGTAAAGAGATGGTGCTTTTACTTTGTACAAATAAGTTAATGTATAGGTGGGATGTTTGAGTACATAGACTGTCACCTCACCCCACTTAGGGTAAGTGATAAGATGCCCTTATGCTTCAACAAGGTAGTATCTCAATTAATCAATCAAAGATTGTAAGTGAGAAAAGTCCTTAGAAGAACAGGAGTGATATTGACCCGATATCCAGTGGGTGCCCTGTGGCAGGTCAATGTGAAAATTGAGAGGTTTGAGATTTTGAGGGTCGGTGTAGAAGGGATGGGGACGTCCAGGGCTGAGCTGGAAAGGACCGGCAGCTCAGAGGCAACCAGTGAAAGGAGAAAAAGAAAGGAGGACTGAGCTATGGCATAAAGGAAGTAGCCTCAAGGGCATCTCAAAGCAAGAGACTCAGGTTGAGGCCACCAGCTGTCCCCACTTCCTCAAACACGCCGGAAAGTTCTAAGAAAAGGTCGACTCTTTCCCCGGCTTCTATTCTAGAGTCTGTCTAGTGGCAAAGTGGTGATATACTCTGCTGCTTACCCAAACACTTCCGGTAATCTGAATTTTGCCTCAACCACAAATAGGATAGTGGTTAACTAGAGAGAGAAATAAATGTAAACTAAAGCAGACAGCCCAATCGCCTCGATGTTAGTAATTTTCCTAACTGGGGGCTCAGAGAGATTATGACTGTGCTCAGAATTTTTTTTCTAATGGGCCCCCTTCCCCCTAAAGCAAGAGGAAAAAACCACGTGGATCTGAGGGGCCATTATACAGCCCTTCAGCTTAAAACATGCTAATTATTTTAATTTTAAAAAAATAATTATACTTTATTTTAATGTTCATTTTTAAAAAATATTGTATTTTTCCAATTCCATGAAAAGACAACTTTTAACATTCATTAAAAAAAAATTTTTAGTTCCAAATTCTCTTCCTCCCTCCAGCCCCTTCTCCACCCATTGGGAAGGCAGCAATATGATCTCAATTGTGAAGTCACGTAAAACATTTCCATATAAACCATGTAAAACATAGTCATCATTTAGCATGGCGTTAACATTAGCTTTAAGATAGACCCTTAATCATCTTTAGTCACACCTTGTCCTTAGGTAATGTAGGCAAAAATTTTATATTGGTTTTACTTAGAGGAGAGTATCATAACTGTAACAAGTGGAATCATCCAGAAGCACTTACAATGTGCCAGGCGCTGGTACCTCAACTTGGACAAGATGAGTAGTTCTGATTCTGCCCAACAGTCAGTCCCCTTTCCAGCTCCCAGACAGTTTCAGACTTGACTTGAAGGCAAACTACCCAGAACACCATTGACTCTGGCCTTGAGGGATGGGAATTGTGGAGACTGAGGAGGAGGAAGGAAAAGCAAGCAGTCATCATGGTGAGTAGGAAGCATCAGTGCATGAGTATGGAGAGCCAATGGGCAGTTGTGAACATCTGTGCTGGGTACTGAGCCCAGCAGGGGCAGTGAAGATAACTGGGGCATCAACTATGTCCTGGGTGCATTCTAGCTGCTGATCCAGTCTGGGCTGAACATGGGGAGATGAGTCTTCCTGACTCCATGCCTGGCGCTCTATCCACAGCGTCACCCAGGCTTCCCCTTCGCTTGACTAATAGCTTCTTTATTACAAGGAAGGATTCAATTGCTGGAGGAAGAGAGGCTGTTTCTAGAAATGACTTGAAATAAAAACAAAAGTCATCAGTAAGACTTATTAAAAAAAAACAACCAACTAATGTGATCTCAGACACAGCATCTGGGAATGCTAGCTCGTGTTTTTGGTTTTTTTTTTCAGCCAAAGATGAAGTTTGTTAGAACATCCGTCATATTGGGCAGACTCTTAAGGAGCCTGAAGATTAATGAGCTATCGGCTAGATTCTAAGAATCTAAGCCGCCAGCTTGTGTTTTTAGTTCACTTCAAGGTTTGCAAAATGCTTGCTGGATCCTGGACAGGCTTGTGAAGTAGGTGATAGCATTATCTTCATTTTACAGATGGAGAAACTGAGGGTCAGACGGGTTAAGTAATTTGCCCAGAGAATCACAGCTGGTAAGTATCTGAGGCACGATTCAAACTCAGGACTTGCTGATACCAAGTCTAAAGCTCTATCTCCTGTAGCCACCTAGTTCTGCCCTAATCAGACCATAGGGGCAGCTAGGTGGTGCAACAGATAGAACACTGGGAGACTTATCTTCCCAACTTCAAATTTGGCCTCAGACAATTACTAGCTGTGTGATCCTTTGCAAGTTATTTCACCGTCTGCCTCAGTTTCCTTATTTGCAAAATGAGTGAGAGAGGGAAATAGCAAACCAAAATCTTTGCAAAAAAAAAAAAACCAAAAACCCAAATGGGGTCACCGGGTCTGACACAAGTGAACATGACTCAAAACCAAGTCAGACCACGTGAGGAGTATTGTGTTCTCATGGTCAGTTCTGGGCATTATGGTTTAGGAAAACACTGAAGAGCTGGACAGCTTCCAGGGGAGGACAACGCAAACAGTGAAGAGTCTCAAGACCAGCTGAAAAAAGTGTGGGTGTTAAGCTTGCTTGGAGGAGAGAAGACTCATGAAGGACATAACTGTTGTCTTTAAGTACTGGAATGATGCCTTGGTTTTATGAGTGGATGCGAGGTAAGCAGCACTAGCAGAAGAATGTATCCAATAACCGTTGTAATATAAAGACAACAACCAATAACAGATCAAGAATCATTGATGAAGTAAAAAATGGAACAAATCCCTATTCTCAAGTAGTTTACATTCCACCAACGTTAAAAGACTTTAGAACTCTAATTAATGCAGTAAACAATTATGAGTTTAGAGGATGATGAGTGAAATATGCCTCCCACCCAGGGTTTGCTAGGAAATATTTAACAACCAGCTCTTCCCCCAAAAGCTTAACAATCAGCTCTCCTTCTCCCCCCAAAAAAGTACACCTGACACACTTTTAAGTTTAGTATGCGTTATGAACATTTTCCCCCACCTCCTTCTGAAGCTTGGACAATCAACAAAACAATAAATGAAGCCCTGACTTGTAGAATTTGCTGATTTCTGAGGTGTAAATGCTCACACTGAAAATTTAACAATCTACTCTTTTTTTTTTGTGAGGCAATTGGGGTTACATGACTTGCCCAAGGTCACACAGCTAGTACATGTCAAGTGTTTGGTCTGAGTCCGGATTTGAACTCAGGTCCTCCTGACTTCAGGGCCGGTGCTCTATCCATTGTGCCACCTAGCTGCCCCAACAATCTACTCTTTTGAGAGCACACGCTCGCACCAGAAGTGTTCTGGACTGTGGGGTCCAGAATGAGACATACATTGTCAGACCAGAGCAACTGGCTCCTTTGTTTTGTTTAACTGTGTTTTGTTACAAGGATTGTTCTCTTGAGAAGGGTATGTGGATCATCATTGGGAAGACATAGCAACGAAGAAAAAAGTCATTAAAACATTTTTTTAAATGAGGCTTTAATGCACTGTTGGTAGAGTTGTGAACTGATTCAACCATTCTATAGAGCGATTAGGAACTATGCCCAAAGGGCTATAAAACCATGCATACCTTTTGACCTAGCAATACCACTACTAGGTCTGTATCCCAAAAGAAATAAAAAACAGAAAGGAAAAGGACCTGTATGTATAAAAATATTTATAACAGCTCTTTTCTGGTGGCAAAGAATTGGTACTTGAGGAGATGTCCATCATTTGGGGAATGACTGAACAAGCTGTGATATATGTGTGATGGAATATTACTGTGCTATGGAAAACGATGAGCAGGACGCTCTTGGAAAAGCCTGGAGAGACTTGCACGGGCTGATTGATGCTAAGTGAAATGTACTGTGTACAAGTAACAGCAAGATTGTAAGATGATCAGCTGGGAATGGCTTAGCTATTCTCAGCAATACAATGATCTAAGGCAACTCTGAATGACTTATGATGAAAAATGCTATCCCTCCCCAGAGAAAGAACTGATGGTGTCTGAATACAGATTGAAGCATACTTTTTTTGCTTTATTTTTCCTGAGGTTTTTTGGCGGTTTTTGTTTTTGGTTTTTTTTTTTTGGTCTGTTTCCTTCACAATATGACTATTATGGAAATGTTTTGCAGGATTATATGTGTATAACCTATATTGAATTGCTTGCCTTCTCAATGGGGAAGGAGAGGGAGGAAGGGACAGAATTTGGAACTCAAAGTTTTTAAAAGGAATGTTAAAAATTGTTTTTACATGTAACTAGGGAAAAATTTAAAAATACTAAAATCAAAACAAAAAAAAAATTTTTTTTTAAAGAAAGGCTGTCTTATAGAAAAGAGGTTAGGCCCATTTGA